AAGGTCCTGACTCTCTACAAGGCCTTTTCTAATCATACTATTGCTAAAGTAGAGGGCTGCCTCATTACTACTGGGTGGGAATGAAAGCCCAGGCTCCTTGTGTGATCTCCACTGGCATCCTTGGGGTGGGGGAAGACTTGCTACAGGCAGATAGGAATGAATGCACTGGCATCTTACTTGGCCTTCTTGGACACCACCCAGGCAGGAGTGTTGGTGTGCTTTGTTACATCTTTATAAGAGTAGAAGTCTAGGCTCCACACTTGGCTGTCGCTGGCATAGTCAGGGTGGGGCCACAGTTTTTTCCATGGTGTTTGGTTATAGAAGAATTGTTATTGTCTAAAAGTCTTCTGTCTTCCTAGGCTGCCCCTTTTCTGGTCCTATGGCTAGAGAGAGAAAGCTTCTGTTGGGGCTTTCCTCTTCTGTATCTGTTGGTATCTTGGGGTTGCCTACTTCCTCAGGTCCAAGTCTGGGATATATGACACAAAAATAAAACCCAAGAGATTCACTGCCATGTTGATACTTGGTCTCCATATCTGAGTTGATCTACTTTTGTCTGTCTTCTTTCCAGAGTTTCCTTATATTTGCTTACATAAAATGTCCAAGGTTTTAATTGTTCTTGGAGGAAGTAGGGCATAGTATGTCTACTCTATCTACCTGGAATCAGAAGTCCAACTGCCTAGATTTTTAAAACCTAACCTGCTTACTAAAAAAAAAGTCACTATAGAACACATGGTAGAAATAGAAAGTAATAGGACTGTTTTGTTGTTATTGTTGTTGCTTTACAAAATTACTGAAATGGACTCATTTAAATGAGTATCAGTGGTTCCTTGAAATCAGTTCCTGAGTTATCCTTTGTAGATGATTTTGTGTTGTTGACACTGCTCCCAAACATTTTTTGAACTCTACTGGACTTAATTTGAGAGAATTAATTGTGTCCATTTGAATATTCTCAGTGGCATAAACTGTCATCCTTTAAAGCTGTGTTTGATTTTTGGAAGCAACCTCAAGTGGTTCAAGAGCCAAGATGGCTAGTAAAACAGGTGACCAAATTACATAATATACTTCTCAGTCTAACAGTTTTTCTAAGAGAATAGTGTGAACCAAAGCATTGTTTTAATGAGAAAGTCATTTCTTTTATATCATACAAAACTTCCCAAACACTTTAAATCTCTACATAATAAGCCTGATTAGCTGTGGGCTGAATTTTGCACGAACACTGCCCTTTGGTATCAAATCACTATTTCTTTTCTGTGGTATTGACATTGATGTTTTCTTGGGTCCTATGGATACTGGAGTTTTTCTCTGTAAATTTTGACAGTATGGTTTTGGGTCAACTTGAAAACACTATATTTCATCACTGTTCTCCTCAAATATGTGTTATTTTGTCCAACCTCCCCTTGAAAGTTCAAAACAAATGTCAGATCTTCTCTATTTCTTTTTATCATTCAAAATGTGTAGCACAGTCTTTACAGAAACCTTTATGTTCAAATTCCCCTTCAGTATGAGTCAGTGTTCTCAAAGCTAACCCTCTGCTTGAACAAATCCAGCCTCTGACATTTTCTACATTTTCATTAGCCCTTTGTACTTCATCATGAGCATCCTCATTATCTTTCTTAAGCCTTTGTGCCAGTCAAAAAAAACTTCCTCTTTACAGTCTCTCCAACACCATAATTGTCCCTTTAGATGTCTTGTGTCATTTATGTTTGCTTAACTCCACGCAAAATTTAGTGTTAATTCTTGGCTTTCTACAGCTGTCGCTCCCCATGCCCGTTCAGTGCAGCCTGTAGTCCCAATAGAGAGTGAAATAACAGTACTAATGCAAACAGAATCATTTTATAGCACATCCTTCCATGCCCACTTGATGTTTTACCAAACTATCTGAGAACATGAGCCTCGTCACTTCATAATTGTGGGAAGATTACTAAATACACTTATTTGCTTAACTATGATGCTCTAAGTCACATCCATAGGATCTAAAATAGATAACAGACCTAGTTCAATAAGTAGGAATGGCCTTTTGGCAAATTAAAGAGCTGCTAAAGAAATTTAATATATCTGATTGCAGGATATATTATATATTTATATATAATATATATATTTTCATGGTTCCTTTTCAATTCACAGCTCAACTCTTGGGGGAGAGAGTTGATTTGGGGGTTAGGGGATTGCAGTATAATTTTGTGTTTAAGAGCATGATCTTTCAAAACTAATGATGTACTATATGTTGGCTAACTGAACATAATAAAAAAAATGGGCGGGGGAAAAAAGAGCATGATCTTTCATAGTCAGATAGCCTTGTTTCAAATCCTGATCCTGTCAGTTTACCAGTAGTGAAAATTTCCTGGGGAAGCTGCTTTACTTCTCCAAGACTTCGTTTCCTCATTAGTAAAATTGGATAATAATAATTCATAATAGTTAACCTCTAATGCTGTTGTAAGGACTAAAGGGGGTAATATGTGTAAGATAAGTTTTAGCACATTGTTTGGCACCTAGTGTTTCAATAGTAGTCATTATTTATTAAATGCCAGTTACTGCTCCAGTCATTGAAGATGGTAAGTAGGGTATGGTGCTTGCCTTCAAGGAGTTCCAAATCAAAGCATAATTCTGGGCTCCAATTGTCCCATCAGAAGGGAAAACTAAACCAGAAAAATAAGTCTATAGACTATAATCGTTATATAATATGCAAACAGTTTTTCACCCTTGGATAGACCATTACCAGAATATTCTAATCAATGAAGAGATTGTTAAGTGGTCCTTATTAATTTTCTCATGTAGATTATGCATCCATGTTCTGGATCCCTCTAAGTTTTTTTGGGTGTTAACAATTCTTTGCTTGTCTACATGATCACTTTCAATTAAACTGCTGGTCTTCTTCTTGTCCACTGGCTGAAGCACTGACTGAAGACCCATAAGTATTATGCAGTGGCGGTGACAAGCAGATTTAAATGTAAAATCAACTTATTTTTCCATAGCCAAGCTAGTCAGCTTTCGTCAGCCGACATCATCAGCATTTCAAACTCCAGGAAGTCATTGTCTCCAACTATGTAACTTAGCATGCCAGTGAGTTCATTCAGAGTATAGCAGCTCAAAATGTCATACGGCTTATCGTGGTTTTCCTCTCCTACCAAACAAGAGAACATGAAATTCCATGGAGGTAGGAGAGAATCACACTAAGGGGAAAAACTTGACCAGGAGAGTGTTCAGTCATCTAGAACAGCTCTCAAAGTTGTAACATCTCCTTTCATTTAGATTTCTGAGAAGGGCATAGATACAATATAGAAACATACATTTGCCCTTTATGAAGTTTCTTAGTTGTGTTTATGATATTATAGCTTTGCCATTGCTGGTTAGTTACATTGGATAGTGTGGGATTGATAAGTATTTTCACATTGTGCTGGTATAAGTGTGACTCTTTTTTTGCATCTTTTCCTCCAATTTCTCATGACTGAAATATCCTTACTGTTTCTGAATGTAAACATTGTACATGATAACAAGACAACCAGTTGGGCATCTAAAAATATAATCAAATGGTTGTTTACTTTGCCATACGCATTGCCAAATAATAATTTTGAATATTTTCTTCACTGAAATCACCTCTTGTTTGGAACCAAGCAATATGGCTCCCATCTTCTCCAAGTGATTTTCCATGATCACTGTCATTTCCTTATGTTTCTTAATGTTGCTCTTTTAAAAGAACTTTTAAAAATTCAAATTAATCTGTTCCTTGAATGCATGTTTAATAATTTTTCCTTTATTCTTCCTGAATTTTTAATCAAAAATTTTGATTAGTTAGACCTCCCTAGCTAATGAGTTACAAATCTGTTACAAATAGCAAAATTCACAGGCTTTCCCAGCTAATGAATTCTAAGGTGAAATTCAGCTTTGAATTCCAAATTATCTACCCTTAAAAGACCAATAAGAAAGAAAATGAATGCAGGAAGTTACCCCTCAGAGGCCTCCATAGTAATAGGTGAAGTACCAAGCACAGCAGTAAAACATATGTTTAAAAGTATTAACGATAAGCATTCACTTTCCATGTGAGACCTCCATGTTAAACCATACATAATTATAAAGGGCATGTTCTGGGTGACGAGCCCAGAAGCAGGACTACTTGCTTGGTGGAAAAGATACCAAGTAGAATGACTCAAGAAACCGATGTTAAAACAAAGGTGAGAAAATCAGAGTGAGCAAGGAACCATATGCATATGGTGTGCACTATAGCATTTGAAGATGAGAGATCAAAGTGAGCATGCCCTCTTCCTCCAACAGTCACCCTTAAGGACTGAGAAATTGTCATTATTTCTTTAAATGAGATACTAATGAATGTCTCTGAAAGCTCACCATGGGATAATCTACATACAGAGCTCACTTTGAAGAACTTTCTGACATCTAGTGCCTCCATGAGCTACAGATACAGGATTTTATCACATGGTTCATTTTCAATGTGACTTAAAGATTCCAAAAACCATACTCTTGATTTAATAATGCAGAACATGAATAAATATTGATTAACCTCACCTGAACAAGCTCACTGTGCACCTGTGACATAAAGGAAAATACACACTTCAATTCTTTTGCTTCAGAATCAGGAACCAGGCTCTCATTCTCCCCCTGATGTTTCCTATATTATATCTCTCTCCCTGCTGTTAGTCAAAATAAAATGCCAGATAGAACTCCACTTTATTTTTAAGCTGTGACTTCTTTTTGTGCTTGAGATTTTTCAAAGAGAATTTTGCTCCCTTAAAATGGGAGATAAAAATAATCTCTGGCAAGACACCAGATGACTACAAATGTATATAATGCAACCTTGCTCCAATATTAGCATTTTCACAAACCACAGTAGGCAGACCCTTACTGTTTTTTCATTATCCTTTCCAGCAGTGGCTGAGAGCCCAAGTGATGCCACTTTACCAGAGGGGTATTCTGTATGTGTGTGTTCTACTTTAATCACATCCTTTCAACACCATGTATCTTTGTCTGACAACTTATCTTCTCCACAGGCAGGCAGCCACATCCAGACTCTGATGGGGTCCCAAAGCCTTCAGCATCGTAGCCGGGAGCAGCAGGGATATGAAGGGAATATAAACAAAGTGACCATCCAGCAATTTCAGTCACCATTGCCTATTCAGATCCCCTCTTCACAGGCCACCCGGGGACCTCAGCCTGGACGGTGCTTAATTCAAACTAAAGGGCAAAGGAGTATGGATGGCTATCCGGAGCAGGTGAGAAGGGTTTTTATCATTGATGAATTCTCAGGAAATGTTCAGGGAAGTCCGGTGAATCTGTGGTTTACCTTCCCCCACTAATGTAGTCTGGGACAAATTAATGCTCTCACCATGCTGAATGGAGTGGAACACTCTTTGTTGGGGTTTTACCATTATTTTCAGTGGTTAAACACTACAACCTATAAAAACTGATAGCTGGCAAAATGCCCATTTCACATAAGGAGAAACTGATGAATTGGACATTTTTCTGGTTTATCCTACACCTTTTCCTGTTCACTCTCAACTCTAACTTAGTGCTATAGCATGGCTTTTGAATGTTACAGAGCTTCAATGAATTAGGTGTGTTTACCGAGGCCTCTGGTGAAACTGACAGTGTGAAAAGTAAACTATTTGTGGGAACCTTTCTGAATAGTCCTATCTTCTGATTGTTGAATAGGACAAAGATAAAGCTTTGCTTGAAGAAAATGATAAAGAGCAGTTAGAAGGGAAACATTTCTGAAATGCTCTAAAAACTACTGATAAGTACCCTATAGCAAAAAAAATGCCTGTTCTCCTGACCTATCTAAAATTAGGATTTACTTTTCCATTATAGAATCTGTTTTTCTTCCTTAGAACCAGAAAACTGAATAGAGCTTTCTATTGAATTATATTATGCTGAGAAAGTAAGACATTAAGATCTTAATACTCCCATAAAATTAATTTTTCTTATTTCATTCTTCAAATAACTAAGCAAAGCTCCTACTGACTTCACTAACTCCTTAATATGGTTTATAAAGATTTCATTTTATTATTGACTACTCAAAGCTTCAGATATCACCCTACCTTATTTTCTGAACATCTCAGACATTGCCTTCATTCTAGTTTTTTCTTTTACACGGTTAAGAGCCATTTTTTTATTTGGATCCCAGCTGCTCTAGACATTGCTTCTACTTCTTAATACCCTTCTTGAGGCTGAGATAAGGTATTAATCATTCTCAGAATCACAGGCTTTTTTTTTTTTTTTAAGATCATTTTCTTCCTGTCCTACCTTGATCTAGGTCAAGTGTTGGATTTAAGGTAAATAAATCAGACAGGTGCCTTTAATCGGGTAATGATATGAGGTTTTCAACTCTCCAGAGATTCTTGAAAGTTAATAAAATTTTAAATTTTGTTTTACTACAGGCATCTAGAAGGTTAAAAATTGTTCATATTTCCTCCCCCCACAAATATCATAACCCCAATGAAGTTCTTGGGTTTTGTTATGCCTATTAGCAACGACATGATTTTTTTTTTTTTTGCCCAGAATCAGCACATTTAAAAATCCACTGATATCAATGCCCTCTGTTTCACCTACTTTGAACAGTAGGTTTAGTTTTAGCATGCAGTTATTCTGAGCACTCTAAGTTTAAAGGCCTTTTTTTACATTATTTCTCAAAATACATAAGTTGTATAGTTTGACTAATGAGAGGATTACTAAATTCTAAAGTTTACATACTTATTAAACTTAAAACATCATGATTCTTTCAGAGGAGGGATTTGTCATCGCTGACAGGTGTTTTGATCCACAGTTTCAACATCAGGTGCTTTTCAATCTGAGAGGTAAAAACTGAAACATTCAATGGCTGTGTTAAGGAAGGAACTTAAGTAAATTCCTCTCAGCTTCCCAGTTTTTTCCCTGCCTTGTTTTCAGACTGAAATGGTTTGGAATGCTGAGATAAAATTTACCAGGTGAATAATATATTGTTATTATCACTAATTTGATTCATAACTTGTTCATAACTTGCTGAATATTTTCAAAAGAAACTAACATTAACTTGGTTTTTCTCTTTTGCAAATGTATAGTCCATGACAAAGTATATTTATATATGTGGAACATACAGATACCAAAGCAGAACTAGGAAGGAAAAACATCAACATGGTACTTCAAACATCTCAAAGCCCTTTCATATATTAACTGATTTGATCCAATTAATAATGATGTGATACAGATAGAGCAGTTTCTGTCTTATTGACTAGAAAAGTAAGATTCAGAGAAGTTAACTGTCTTGCCTGTGGTAACACAACCATTTAGAAGCTGAGCCAGAATTTGAATCCTGTTTCTTGAGTCTACATTATATGCTGCAGCCTGCTGCCCTAGAACCAAACACAGAGGTCCAGAGTAAGCCCACACCGAGAGAGTAAGCAATGGAAAAATAAACCTTTGAGTCCATGTCTGCCCCAAACAAGAGGACACACCCACTACTTAACCTAACGGATCAGGATGGCAGGAGCTCCATAGTTGTCTCCTGCCAGTTCCTGAGTACACATCCGAACTAAAGTTTGTTCCTGACAGAGAATTTATTACATTTGAATTACATTAGAATTAGACTCTGTGAGTTATACAAAGTGAACTGCATCCATCATATTCAAGGGAAAAAAAACCAAACCAAACCAAAACTCCAAAACCTTCCCAATCTACCTTGGAAGAAATCATTTTCATATTTAATAATATATGGGGTACATGAAACAGTTGACAAGATTTCAGACATTTCTTTAGATTAGATGCACTGGTCAGCTAACTGAAGGGCTCGCAAGGGTGAGGCTTTCATCTGTTGAGGCCAACTGAAGAAAACATTATTCTGAGTCTTTGGCGATAAAAACTTGGAAAATTTTGTTTTATTTAAATTATGGATTTTTAATTTAATAGGCAACAATTCGATAAAGGTGGTTAGAAAATAGGCATTAAAATGGTTTTAATATATGTTATTTACTCAATTGATTTCAGGGACATCCCATACCTCATTCTACTCCACTTAAAGTATTACTACTATTTATAAATATTTTCCCCTAGAATTTTACTCTTCAGTAAATAATACTGCAACTCTGACATTATAAACCACAGTTGGAAACAAATAATGTATAACTCAACACCACAAATTCTACAAATTGACTTTCTAAGTTCTGTGCGGTCAGATAGTAGAATTTAGTAAACACTGCGGTAGGAACCAAAGGACTGTCTCAGTGCTCCAGTAAATATATGTATGATCTTCTTGGTTTCCTTAAGTAGAAAATGAAGGAAATGAATTACCTTTATAATTTATTTATGGACAAAAAGCATTTGAGTTTCTATTTCCTAGATACATACAGGGTTGGCTAATTTTTTCTGAAAGATCTAGAAAATGGTAAATCGGAGGATTTTATTCATCAGTCTTTATTTATTATGTCTTTTGAAAAGATTTAATTAGTACTTTGAGCTGGACTTGCATTTCTAAATCACAACAAAAAAGATATGGAAATAGAAGAAGAATTAAAAATTAATTATTCTTGAATATCAACATTTATATATTTGATTATATTATTAGATATTATATAATTATATATTGTTATATAATTATTTTATATAATAATCTATTATAACATAATTATTATATAATATATATGTGTTAATATATATGTTATATATTATATATAATGATCATTGTATATAATAATATAGCTTATATATTATATACAATGTATTATATATTATTGTATCATGTCATTATATAAATCAGATCATGTCACTCTTCTGCTTAAAAAGCCCTAGTGGCTTTGAAATTTCTGAAATCACATACATTCTTATTATGGCATAAAGTCCCTACAGATCTGGCCTCTGCCTCCTCTCTTTCTATTCTTTCCTTTACCTATTTTTTCTCTAGTCATGCTGAACTTACTGTTGCTGTTGTTATTGTTATTGTTGTTGGTAACAGTAGTGATATAATTTACATTCCTTCAAGTTCACCTGTTTAAAGTGTACAATTCAGTGGGTTTTATATATTTATACAATTGTGCAACCATCACCAGAATGTAATTTTTAAACATTTTCATTATTCCAAAAGAAACTTTGTACCCATTAACAGTCACTTTCCATACTCCCTTCCATTCATTTCCCCCCAGCCCTAGATAATCACTCATCTACTTTGTGTCTCTATAAATTTGCCTATCCTGGGTATTTAATATAAATGAGATCAGACAATATATGAGGTTTTTTGTGACTGACTAATTTCAATTAGCATAATGTGCTAAGTGTAGAATGTATTACTAATTCATTCCTTTGTCTTGCCAAATAACATTCTGTTATATGGATATACTACAAACTGTTTATCCATCAGTTTATGTACCTTTGGATTCTTTTCTCTTTAGGGCCATTATGAATAATATTGCTATGAACATTCATGTACAAGTCTGTGTTTGGATATATGTTTTCATTTTTCCTTAGTAACTTAGGAATGAAATTGCTTGGTTAAATGGTACTTATGTTTTAATTTTGAGAAGCTTCTAAACTTTTGCCTAAGGTGGCTGCCACATACTACATTTCCACCAGCAATGAAGAAGTATTCTAATTTCTTCACATTCTCACCATTATTTTTTGTCTGCCTTTTTTATTATAGCCATCCTATGAAGTAGTATGTCATAATGATTTTAATATACATATCTTTAATGACTAATGATGTTGAGTGCTTTTTCATGCATTTATTAGCCATTCATACGTCTTCTTTGGATAAATGTCTATTAAAATTCTTTACCCATTTTTTATATTTTTTAAAAATATTTATTTATTTACTTGAGAGAGAGAGAGAGAGCAGGAGGAAGAGGGAGAGGGAGAGATAATCTGTAGCAGACTCCGCACTGAGCACAGAGCCTGATGCAGGGCTTGATCTCACAACCCTGAGATCGTGACCTGAGCCAAAACCAAGAGTCGGATGCTCAACTGACTGAGCCACCCAAGTGCCTTTGCCCATTTTTTAATTAGGTTATTTGGGTTTTCAATTACTGAAATTTAAGGATTGCTCATATATTCTGGATGTAAGACCCTACTCATATATATGATTTGCAAATATTTTTTCCCATTCCTTGGGTTGTCTTTTCACTTTCTTAGTAGTCTCCTTTGAAGCATCAAAGTTTTTAATTTTTATAAAGTCAGTCATCTCTTTTATCACATTTGGTTTCATATCTAAGAAATCATCAACTAATTGATGATCATAGAGACTTACTCTTGT